TTTAGAACAAAAGCAGCAATGGATTTTTTATTTTGTTTTGGACAGTTATGTCTTTACTTATAATTTTAATCCAACGTTTGCCCATTGACTGCTGGACCAACCGATAGAAATGTCCAGATAGTTCTTTATTACCAATACGATACAAATATGGCAGCTTAGAGAACTGACCGATACTGATATGGGTCCAATACAATGTCAGCAGGAATCATAAATGCTTTCATTACTTATTTTCTACTGTAGAGAATTAGAAAATGCTTGATGAATTGTTATTACTAAAATAAAGAACAATAGTCAACAATAATAGGTATGGCAACAACTGACTCATGTAATATTAACCAATGAGTTAAAGAAGCTTTAAACAGAAGCAGAGGGTTTCTATTAGCCTGACGATATTAGAGATTTTAAATGCAGGCAGATATAATCAGACATTATTATTTTGGCAAATTTTGGTCCAATATCGGATATCAATATCAAATTAGGAAATTCCTTAAAACCAACACAATATTGATACAAATGTACAGTTTTGGGAGTTCTAAAACTGTTGTTTGACATACTGCTGAAATTAATATGTTTTAAACTTGACATTTTTCTATATATTTTGGTTTCTTAAAAGGAAATGTACCAAAACACAAATGAGCCTTTAGAATGGTAGGAAGTCACTCCAAACCTAACCAACACTCTAACCTGAAACTTTACTCTCACTCTTACACTGACCAAAAAACACTTTTGTGTTCCCAGTTAAACATAAGGTGTCTTAGTCTTTATTCCTATAACAAATAGTATGCATTACTGGGCTTTAAAGAGGAGGAATGATCAAACGTAAAATACATATCCATAGGTCTTTAAGCAACACTGCGTAACTTTTAGCCACCAGTTGCAAAAGAAACAACCCTGCAAAACTTATGCAGGGTTGCTTTGAACAAATTTACATAAAGGCCTTCTCCTACTTTGTGTCCTCATCTGTATAGCATTGACCTATAAAGGAGAATCATTGCCACCATTTACTTTGTCCAACTTTAAGTTATGATCTTTTGTTTGATTTTAAATCCAACATCACATCTATTTTATGCTGAGAGGAGTGTGGAAGCCATGTTTAAAAATTATATAAACAATATCAATTGCAGTATAAATGATTGGATGGTATTCTGCCTGAAGTCAATGGAGTAATCATGTATTGTTCTTCAATAATCCAGTTAACAAGGCAGAGTTTGAAAGTTGTCAAGAAACAGCATGAGACCGACTGCTCTGAGTTAGGGTTACAGTTTGTGGCGAAGACGATTATGGTGTGGGACTGTTGTTCAGGAGCTGGGCTTGGTTTCCTAGTTCAAGTACAATTAACTGTCAATGTTACAGCAAACCAAGATAACTTTGACAATTTGATGATTAGAACAATGAGGGAACAGTGTGCGAATGCTCCACCATGACTGCACACAAGCCTACAAAGCACAAGGTCCCCAAAGACATGGATAAGCCAGTTTAGTGTGGAAGAACATGATTGGCCTGCCCTAAGTCCTTGACTCAACCCAATAAAAGACATTTTGGACAAATTAGAGAGAGGACGACGAGCAAGCTTCTCACAGAACATTGGTTTCTAATGCCTGTCTAGATTAACATTTAGGGATTCCCACTACAAACTCTGGATGTGGAAAATCTGTCAGGGTTCTGCCCTTTGTTGAAGGTTATTTTTAGTTTCTCTGTAATTTTGAGTCATTGTAGTTGTTTTCTGGCATTGTTGTGTTTTTTTGTTACTTTCTTTTGCCCCCTTGGGCCAGTTTCCTTTACCCTAGCTCCCTTCTAGTCACTTCTATCCACACCTGCTCCATATCAGCTGATTACCCCAGTCTTAGTTCTCTCTCCCATATATACTCTCCCTGTGCAGTTATTCAGTGCTGGTTTCTTGTTGCTTCATTGCTTTGCTCCTCATGTGTTTCTCCCAGGTATCTCCTGGTTTTTTGGTTTCTTGTTAGTGTCCTTGGATTTGTGCTTCTGTTGCCATCAAGTTCCCATTAAATCAGCAAACTCATCTCTGCCTCCTCTTCTCTGCATTCGGGTCCTCAACCAACTTCAATCAAACTCTGACAAACTCTCCCTAAAGTATTAAAACTGTTACCAACCATGTTCGTAAGTGAAGACAGACAGACTGAAGAGAATATTAGAGGACGGACATCTGTGCATTTTTAATGCATATTAATAATATTAATAAAAAAACAGTACTAATAAATTATGTGCACTGAACACAAAGGACATCACTTTGGGTCATGTGCTCAAGCATGATAAGCAGATGTGCATTTATATGGTACCAAAGAGAATAAAGTGGTCATGTAGATAAGACGCAGCGCTTAGAACACCATTAAAGGCAGACAGGATAATGAAAGCTAAAATTACTCTGTGATAAAGTCAGTCCTGCTCTGAAAGTAGCAGACCGACTGAGGACGGCAGTAACACAAGTATGGTAAAGGACATCTTTAATAGCATCTCCACCATAAAGCACTGACAGAAGAGTGACGAAGGAAAGGGAATCATTCAGAGGCTTGGAAGAAATTGACAAAAGTGTAATGAGAGTGAATGTCCTCCTGGCAGGATGCCCTTTAGCTTCAAAGAGAGGCAGCAGAGAGAAAAGGGAGCATAGATGTCTTCATCTCACTCAGCAAGAAGGAAAACAAGGATATTTTTCTCTGGTGGAGTGTTACCATCCCTCCCTCTGACCTATAGGATATTCAGATTCAAGGTGTGAGTGTAAAAACTGTAAAAACAGACCTTATTCTCTTAACTCCAGTTCATCATCATACATTCTAATTCTACGCTTGTGGCAATGAACAGTTTCTTGACAACCTTTAACATTAAGACAGAGATATCATGTTAAGGTATTTCATACTTTTAAAGATTTAAAGTTTTGCTTTAGATCCAAAACTGCATTTTTTCAAAGTTTCCAATATGAGATTTTGTGACCTTTTCATTGCTTTCATGTATCTACCTTCCTCCTTTAGTGACCTTTAGATAACAAGTTATTACTAACTGGTTTTGGTCTCAGGTGACATTTTACAACTTATTCAATGATCTTCATAGAAAAACCTTCCATCTTTAACATATCAAAGAGAAAAAGACATTTATTATTAAATAATATTATTAATATATTGGACAGTTCAATGTACTAAACAATTATTCGACTCAGCCCTCCATTCAGACACTATGTGTCCATCATGTTTCCTTTCTTTTATTTCTTCATATACTGTAAGAAAAAGGTTTGGAACAGTTGTTAGCAAGCAACTCTTTTCTTATTTCCTCTAAAGGTTCCTGGTTTTGATGTAAAAAAAAGTTTTGTTTTTTTGTCTTTTGAGCAACAGAGGGTGCTCAGAGGGTTACATGTCAGCAGTAGGTTTATTCTGACATTCAACCCATTTTAGTGAGAAAGAATCTCGAACAGAAGGTCAATTTAAACTAACAGGATTTTTAGAAAAAATAAATTATCACAAGAAAAATTCTAAAGGGAAAAAATTGGTCCTCTACTGACAATGCTTAGATTTAAGCCCTTTAAAGTATTGTCGTTTTAACATGGAGTGTTTAAAACGGTTCGTTCTCTTTTATCTGTCAACAAACTTAAAAACAAAATGCACACAGACAATATTGTTTAATCTCCCCCTTCTCTCTACTCAGTGATGAGAGTCTCAACCCCCTAAAACTCAATGCCACTTGTTTTCCAGCCCATCTACTGCCTGAAAAGGCTGCCAACCTCTGTTCGCTGCCAACGCACGCCTCTCAGCTGTTTTCTAACCTTCATTTGGCAAAGAGACAATAGAGAGATTGTTCGTCCCCGCCTCCCTGCCCTCACCAATTTTTTACTCGACACCCATGCTTCTGAGTTTTTCTCATAGTGGGGATGCACCCAGTTTGAGCCAGTTTTTTTCCCCCTTTGTTTCTCTAGAAGGTGGGAGGTGCACACACGCTCACTAAAAATATATAAATATACAGGAGGTTCATGTGTTTCTGAGCAATATAAAAATTGCAGAAAACCTTATTATTGACAGCATGACTGATTGCTGATAACTGTCTCTCTGTATTGAAAGCTCACACTACCCATCAATGACTAAGCATCCCTTTGATGAAGGCATCCCGGTGCCTTTTGGTATGAACTTCTCACTCAGGGGGGTTAATTGGTGGCAGCCTCTCGGTCTTCCATCTAACAGTGCCGGGTGTTGGCGTGCTGCGCCACTGACGTCCATCAGGGAAAGGAAGAACAGGGAGGCACGTTCTATCTGCAGTCTCCCTGTCGTCCTCGTGGACTGCAGACTTTCAGGACTGCTCTTTCTCCTTGAGGACATAAACGCTCAGTGAGCTGCTGAGGGAGGGCTATAAATATACAGTGGGCTAAATGCTGAGCAAAGCTGTACAGGTTACATCTTGCTTGTGCAAGCAGGTTCAGTTAGAGCATGATGGTTACAAACAGTTTGGTTTTAGAGATTACTCACATAAATAAGAACCTCTACTATCTATTGGAAAAAGTTTTTTTTTTTTTAAATGTCCGCATGGAAAACAATCATCCCATTAGTGAATGTCCAACTTGTGTTTTTCTTTCTTCCCTGGAAAAAGTTTCATAGCACAAATTATGCTACAACAATTCAAGATTAATGTACATGAAAAAAACTTTAAATTTCTGTCAAAACATGAAGTGAGCAGTAAAACTGAAGTTAACATGTAGATAAATCCCTCCATGTGACTTTTTATCTTCCATCCATCCATCCATTTTCTTACATGCTTAATCCCAAGCAGGGTCACGAGGTGTGCTGGTGTCTATCTCCAGCTGTCTAAGGGCAAGAGGCGGGGTACACCCTGGACAAGTCGCCAGTCCATTGCAGGAAAACATGAAGACAAACAACCATTCACACACACACTCACACCTAAGGAGAATTTAGAGAAGCAAATTAACCTAACAGTCATGTTTTTGCACTGTTGGAGGAAGCCAGAGTACCCGGAGAGAAC